TATAACCTTATTTATAATGTGATATTCAATGTGATCATCGAGTGTATTAGTACACGTTATACTATAGATGAACCATAAAATATATTTATATTTTAAAAAATATAAAAATGGTTAACTTAATCTTCTTACTTAGTTTTTGTATAAAGTAATTTGAGATTATTTTGTGCCTTTTTACAAAGTACCAGATCTTAGTTGTATATAATTTTTTCTTTATTTTATTGTTAAAATATTTTTTCTTAAATTATAAATTAAACAATTATTGATTTTTTATAAAACTCATTAATAAGAAAATTTTTAACTATTGTAATTATTTATAATTATTTTAAAGAATATAAATATTCAAAAGTTTTTTCTTTAGCTTTTTTAATAAATTTTGTTAATCAAGTTTTAATAAATTACAAAATAAAAATATATTAAAGTATTTAAAAATTAAAAAATTTTTTCAATTGAAATAATTATTATCAAATTAGAAGTTTGTTTGCTATATTAAATAGTATATTTATTTAAATAAAAGATATCTAAAGTAGAAATAAATTATATAATCAACTACTATTCAAATTATATAATTTTAATAGTTATTAGTAAAATAAAAAAAATAAAAATTAAAAATCTAAAAATATAAAAAATAGGGTTTAATAATTCAATGCACCTGCATAACGGTGCACCCATCACATGACTGTAGTAAGTAGCTTTATTTAATTTTATTTATATTTATAATATAAAATATATACTTATAATTTACTAATAAATATCAAACTATAATTTACTATATTATACTTGTCATTACCTCAAATTGAGCACTATCATAATCCTAATTGAAACATTAATAAGAAAACTCTAATCTAATCGAACTAGTGCTCATTATTAATAATAACAGCCTTGAACTAATGCTCATCATTAATAATAAGAGCAACTCTAACTTTAATCAAACTAACATTTAACACTAATAGGAACAACCCTAATCTTAATCAAACAAATATGCAATATTAATAAAACAACTCTAATTGAACTAACGTGCAGAACTAATATATAATGCTAATAAAACAAAGTTAGTATATAGTATGATACATTATACAGACAATCAAATTAGTTATATTGTAATTCATTTAAATTCATGCAAATAAAAGCAAAGATAAATTTACAAATAATAAGATACTAAAATAGTACAAGTTTGTAGCATATTGCAGTTTAATTTTGATCTATAAACTTTTTAGAACATGTAGCAACATTATGACCTGATTCTTTACAGTAACTACAAAGATTTGGGTGCTTTCACTTACCATTATTATGTGTTAAACATTGATTTATATTATCTTTATGATGGCTAACTGATTTTGACCTACCCTTAGTGGTAACTTTAGCAAATTTTTTAGCTAAACATAAGAGGATATGTTTTCTTTGTTGAAATTGTTTTCTAAATCTGCTATATTTTCTTGAATAAATTCCTCTTCACGTTTATACACTTCAGCCAAATAATTTTTGATCATTTTAATAAAATTATGATCCTGATACTATAAGTATTTGTCAGTTGCAGTATATACTAAACCCCACACTTTTTCATAAAACAGTTGTTCTTTTATGAAATTATTATTTGTCTCTATATTATCTTGCTTGTGTATATTATAATTTCAGAGAGTCAACTCATTATAATTCACTCATTTATTATTTATAAAATGTTGCCCAAAATATTTATGTTTATTCAACACATTGATACACTTATTTCGAGAAATTTATCAGATATTAATTAACTTTATACTAAATTGTGCAGTATCTATAATATTCAAGAGATGAAAGTAGTGCGGCACACAAGTTCTAATCTTTGTTGCAACAAACAAATATAATGATACAATCCATCTACAAGATGAAAAATCATGTAATTCACAATACGTCTAGTAATTCTAGAAATTTTCAAATTTCAGCAATATTATCATAATATAATTAAAACAAAAGAAACTGTACATATGCAAGAATACTATTTGGCTCATCTTCAAGACTTTCACTTTCGAATGATTCATTTTCAGATGCATTTTTGATCTCTTCAATATTAGAATAGCATGCTGTATAGGAAATATATTTTTTTCATTTAGTTGATTATATATTGTATAACCCTTGAATGCAGATAGTATGTTATGGCTACTTCTATTATTGAAAATTTGTTATATAGTTTGTAGTTGAAGAAAAATTTATAAGATTTTATACTGTTTCTCATTTGCTCTATATTCAACACAATCTAAAAGAACTTTGGCAAAATTACAAAAAGATATATTGCTGCTTTTAAGAGCCTGCTTAATATATACATTTTCACTTTTCACAAATGAAGTTGTTTCAATCCCTAATGTAAACAATGTTAATATAAATCCTAGTACCCACAACTTGTATTATCTATATAAATATCTTTCTAGATATTGCTTTGATAATAGATAATTTTCTATCAATTGATTTCAATAATAATTAAAAATTTCGGGTGTGTTGCTATTATGATACTTCCAGAAATCAAAATAAAATATATCAAATTGCGTATTTAATTTGCTGCAAAGCATCTTTTAAGATTTTCCTTGAGATACTATATACAAAAAAGATGACGACTAGTTGGATATTTGATTATAATAGCATATTCCATAGTAGAGTTGGCATCAGTAATTATTACACTAGGTATTTGTCCCCTTGTTGCCTTCATTGTTATATGTAATACCCATTGATATGATTCAGTAGTTTTTTATTCAAAAAGGTCTGTGCAACAATTTGAGATCTTATATCATTATCATGCACTACAAAAAGTAACAATAGCATATAGTAATAGTTTGTTCCTGCTGTATTGTCATGTCTAACCGATTGACAAAATTCATACTATAATATAGCCTGGTTTGGGCTTATTCAAAATAGCCCTGTTAGTATATTTGTTCCTACCTCCTACATAACTTCTACAAACTACCTAGGATCTTGCTGTTGCTTGGCCAATAATTCCTCATAGAGTCTTGATATATCACCTTCATTAGCTTGACCTAATGGTTTATATTTTCTAATCTCTTTATATAGATCCTTAAAGAAAATAGAATGATAGAAATATTTTTGTTTAAGAACCTTCCTGATCAATGTTATGCCAAAATGATACTAATTCATATAAAATTCAACATCTTCTTGTATTTCCTTAGTTAAAGGCTTATTTTTTTCAAATTAAAGAGCCCCAGAGCACATATCATAGTTATGTTTATCTTCCAACATTGTTATATAAATGTAGGTGTTTGGGTTTTGCTTGGATAGCCATGAAAGATTAACATGTCATTGGCATTCTAATTTACTAAACTTTCTAGCTTTTGTAGAGTTTGTTAACTAGTATCAGCTAGAGTGATAACAAAGAATAGTTTGTTTTCTTATTATTTTCTCACTTTCTATTTCAATCATAGTACTGTGACCCAACCTTATTTTGAAACCCTTGAACTCAGCATACTATCATACATGTTGTTAGCATCATCAAAACTTGAAAACAAATAACCTTTTCTTAGTATAACCATTTTAACATTCATAATTAGTTTTTCTATGTCTATATCACCATGATATGCCTCTTCAAAATATTCTTCTATGTTTATTTTATTGCTATCCATGGTGTTATTTGAGTTTACTTTATCATTGTTAATATTGTTTATTATCATACTAACAGATTTTGTATACAAGTTTTAGGAAAGAAATATAAAAAAAATTGGAAATTTCTATTTATATAATTTTTAATTTAGCTAAGTTTAAATTTTATTATAATCAATTGATGTGGTATTGATACACCCAAGTGCACTATGCATCAAATAATAAAATTCTAAAAAATAATAGTTTAAATCTATTTTAGATAGATTAATTAAAATT